CACTGCACCCAGCCCCTCATCTCTCGCCACGCCGCCCCTGAGCCAGACTGAGATGGAGCAACCGGGTCCTGGTCCCAGGCCGGCCCAAGCTCTTGACAGCCGCAGCTCCACCTCTGCCTGACCAGGCCCCCCACTGGGCCCACAGCTCTGTCCCTGCAAAGCACAGGAGAGGCGGGCAGGCCCTTCCCACCTGCCCTTTCCGGCCCCTGCAGGGACCACGAGGCGCGCCCTCTGCCATTTCCCCCCCGCCTGCCCGCCTACTTATTTCCCATATAGCGCTCCCAGCGCCGTCCAGCCCGGTGGTCCTCTTCCCCTGCCTCTCTCTCCTTGCCCCGTGCTGAGTGTCCCCTCTCCCCCAGCATGACATTGAACAGGAGGACCCCCGCGGGCGCACCCCGCTGGAGCTGGCCGTTTCCCTGGGGAACCTGGAGTCTGTGAGAGTCCTCCTCCGACACAATGCCAACGTGGGCAAAGAGAGCTGCCAGGGCTGGGCAGGTACTGCAGCGGGCAGACGGGCTTCCTTGAGGGTGACATGGGGTTGGTGAGTGACCAGACCTGGGGCCGTGGGGAGAGCACCCTTCAGCAGCTTGGTGACCCCAGTCCTGCAGGAGGCGGTCAGCACTGGGGACCCTGAGATGGTGCAAGTGGTGCTCCAGTACCGGGACTACCAGAGGGCCAAGCAGAGGCTGGCTGGCATTCCGGAATTGCTCAACAAACTCCGCCAGGTACAGAGGGCAGAGGTGTGGCCAGTAAGAGGGGTGGAGAACCATGCAGGGGGCTGGCAGGCTGCGTGGCGGTCACCCTGGTCACACACGCCTGGCCTGGCCTGGGAAGGGCACCCAGCTTGTGCAGCATGCTTTCCCAGCACTGCCGACGAAGTGCCTCTCTCTCTTTTTTTGTGTCTATCGATATCTCTGATTATTTTTTATTTAAATTCTTTATTGTTTACAGTGTTACGCATGTCTCCTTTTTCCCCCATTGACCTCTCCCTGGCCACTCCCACTCCCCAGCACATGCCCTCACCCCCGAAGTCCCTCTCTTATGACCCCAGCCCAGGGTCGCGGAGGAAAGAGAGGAGTACAGGCCCACAGGGACAAGAGCGGGTCTTTTGGAAGGAAAGCCCTTACCGGCATTAAGGGTCTCCTACTCCCAGAAATCTCAGCAGAGCTTTAGACCATGGGCTCCCTGGTGAATGCAGATTTTCTGGAGGGAGGATTTCATCCAACTCGACGGATGTGGCCTGCGCTTCTAGAATACCTGTCTGCCCTTCTCAGAGCACCCAGGGAGGAGGGGGGTTGAGAGAGCACACTACCTCCTTCCCCTATCCCAGGAGCAGGCCCAAAGGGGGTGCTCCGTTTACAGATGAGGATTCTGGGATCCACAACAGTCAGGAGCTCCCTCGCCCACCCCACCCTCCCAGCACGCCAGCAGCCAGGTTGAGACTGGCCCTCAGATCTTATAGGAGTTTGATTGCTGAAGGCCTTTTTAGGGCACCACGTGGCCCACCGTTTCCTGGGTGGGGTTTGGTTGTGATGGGGGCATAGCAGGGCCATGGCAATGCATCAGGACTTGCTGAAGGGCCGGCTCCCAGAACGGGGCTGCAGACAAGGAGCTGCCCCCAGAATTAGGCAGGGCCCTGACTGGAGCTCTGATCTATCTCAGGCCCCTGATTTCTACGTGGAGATGAAGTGGGAGTTTACCAGCTGGGGTGAGTGGGGACTGCTCGGCTCCAAGGGGCCTGGGGTGGGACCTTAAGGAAAGAACCCTGGTGACCTCTGTGCCCCCTGCAGTGCCCCTCGTGTCCAAGATGTGCCCGAGTGATGTGTACCGTGTATGGAAGCGGGGTGAGAGCCTGCGGGTGGACACCAGTCTCCTGGGCTTCGAGCACATGACCTGGCAGCGTGGCCGGAGGAGCTTCATCTTCAAGGGCCAGGGTGAGCTCTGGGGGACTCACTGTGGGCGCCTGTGGCTTGTGAAGACAATGCTGTCCTTTCTTTCCACTCGCCAGGTGTGGAAATGGAGGTTCAGGGCGAGGGGCAGGTGGCTGAGGGCATCATGATGGGTCCCCAATCCACTGCCTCGGGTCTGGCACTGATTTACCCCCCTCTTGCATCCCACTGGCTGGCAGAGGCAGGAGCCCTGGTGATGGAAGTGGACCATGACCGGCAGGTGGTGCACACGGAGATGCTGGGGCTGGCCCCTCCTGAGCCGGAAGTGCTGCTGGCCGCCATGCGGCCCAGTGAGGAGCATGTGGCCAGTCGCCTCACCTCTCCCATCGTCTCCACCCACCTGGACACTCGAAATGTGGCTTTTGAGAGGTGAGTCGGGGTCTGGCCACACTGCGGGCAGAGCCCTTGAGGCTCCTGGTGCAGGTCTCTGGGAGGCTGAGCCACATGCAGAGGCTGCTCAGATGAGGGGGGGCGGTCATTGCAGGCCCAGTGTCCCCCAAAGATCGGTCACCTTAGCATCCTGTGGCAACCTTTAAGCCTGCACCTGTCTCTACTGGCAGCTGACTTCCTGGGGAAGAGGCTAGGTCAGGGTGTCCCCAGTTTCTTGACTCCTGACCTCGCATATTTTCCCATAAAAACAAGAATTTGGGCTGTGGTTCAGGACAGCTGTTTGCACCAAAGTTGGCTCCTCAGTAGTATAGCCGTGTCTGGGCCAGAGGCCTTTGTGGGCAGCCTAGGAACCTGACTCTTCCGGCCAGAGTGTATTTCTGTGACAACACATGCCCCAGTTCCAACAACAGACTTCAGAAACACCCAAAAGAAAAACCAAACTGTTTTATTGAGATATAATTTTCATATACCATCCAGTTCACCTATTTCAAGTGTACAACAATTTAATGGTTTTTAGTGCATTCACAGATATGCAACCATCACCACAGTTAATTTTAGGACATTTTATCATCTCAGAAGAAACCCTATATCTTTTACCTATTAATTCCCATCCCCTTATTCCCTCCTCCAGCACTAAGCAACTACTGATCTTTATAGATTTGCCTATTCTGGACATTTCCTATGATGTGTTGATTTTTTTTAAAAAAATTTTTTATTGACTTCAGAGAGGAAGGGAGAGGGAGAAAGAGAAACATCAATGATGAAAGAGAATCATCGATCAGCTGCCTCCTGCACGCCCCACACTGGGGACCGAGCCCACAACCCCGGCATCTGCCCTTGACCGGAATTGAACCTGGGACCCTTCAGTCCTCAGGCTGATGCTCTATCCACTGAGCCAAACCAGCCAGGGCGATATGTAGACTTTTATAACTGGCTTTTTTCACGTAGCATAAGGTTCATCCAAGTTGCAGCATAAAGCTGCATCATTTTTTATGGCTGAATAGGTTGTATGAATATACCACATTTTGTTTGGTCATTCGTCCATTGACATTCAGATTATTTCTACTTTCTTACTCTTATGAAAAATGCTGCTATAAACAGTAGTGTACAAATATTTGTCTGGACATATGTTTTCATTTTTGTTGGGTATATATGCCTGGGAGTGGAACTGCTGGGTCATGTGGTAACTGGATGTGTAATTGGAGAACTGCCAGGCTGTTTACCAAAGGGACTAGCATTTTCTATTCCTGCCAGTGGTGTATGAGGATTCTAATTTCTCCACATCCTCACTGAACACTTACTGTTCACTTATTTATTTTTGGATTTTAACCATCCTATTGGGTGTGAAGTAGTATCTCACTGTGGTTTGATTTGCATTTCCCTAGTGACTAATAGTGTTGAGCATCATTTCATGTGCTTTTTGGCCATTTGTATATCTTCTTTGGAGAAGTGTCTCTTTACATTCTTTGCACATTAAAAAAATTGGATTATCTTTTTATTATTTAGTTGTAAGAATTCTTTTTATAAATTCTAGATATAAGTCCCTTACCAGATACGTGATTTGCAAATATTTTCTCCTATCCTGTGGGTTCTTTTCACTTTCTTTTTTTTTTTTTTTAATATATTTTTTATTGATTTTTTACAGGGAGGAAGGGAGAGAGATAGAGAGTTAGAAACATTGATGAAAGAGAAACATCGATCAGCTGCCTCCTGCACATCTCCCACTGGGGATGTGCCCGCAACCCAGGTACATGCCCTTGACCGGAATCGAACCCGGGACCTTTCAGGCCGACGCTCTATCCACTGAGCCAAACCGGTTTGGGCTCTTTTCACTTTCCTGATGGTGTACTTTGAAGCACAAAAGTTTTATATTTGTTTGTTTTTATTTTTAAAAACCTATAAAGATGGTATCAGTGGCAGCATTTTTATTTTATTTTTTAAAATATATTTTTATTGATTTCGGAGAGGAAGGGAGATGGAAAGAGAGAGAGAAGCATCAATGATGACAGAGTATCATTGATCGGTTGCCTCCTGCATGCCCCTACTGGGGATCAAGCTCGCAACCTGGGCATGTGCCCTTGACCAGAATTGAATCCAGGACCCTTCAGTCCACAGGCCAACGTGACGCTCTATCCACTGAGCCAAACCAGCCAGGGCTGTTTGTTTGTTTTTAAAGAATCGTTTATTGATTTTTAGAGAGAGGGGAAGGAAGAGAAACATTGATGTGTGAGCGCAACATCAATTGGCTGCCTCCTGTACGCCCCACACCGGGACTGAGCCTGGAACCTGGTCATTTGTCCCGACTGGGAATTGAACCAGCAACCCTTTGTTGCACAGGATGACACCCAACCGAGCCAGGGTGAAGCACAAAAGTTTTTAATTTTTATGAAGTCTAGTTTACTATTTTTCCTTTTGTTGCTTGTACTTTTTGTTTCATATCAAACAATACTTTGCCAAATCCAACCAAGGTCATGAAGATTTCCCCCTATATTTTCTTTTTAAAGTTTTATAGTTTTTGCTCTTACAAACGGTCTTTGATCCATTTTGAGTTAATATTTATATATGGTGGGTTCAACTCCATTCTTTGGCCTGTGACGATTCAGTTGTACCAGCATGTTTACTAAAAAGACTGTTATTTCCCTCCATTGAATGGTGTGACATCCCCTGTGGAAAATCAATTGACCATAGATGTATGGGTCTATTTCTGGACTCTACACCATTCCATTGATCTATAGATGTGTCTTTGTTCCAGTGCCACCCTGTCTTAATTGATATTGCTCTGTAGTAAGTTTTAAAATTGGGAAGTGTGAGTCTTCTGACTTCGTTTTTCTTTCTCGGGATTACTTTGGGTATTCTCATTCCCTTGTAATTTCATATGAATTCCCAATTCAGCTTGTCATTTCCTACAAAGAAGTCAGATGGGATTCTGATTTGAATTTCAACCATGGTTTCCCAACTGCGAATTCCCAACCACAGTTGGTTGACTCCATGGACACAAAGGGCCAACTGTAGTTAATTTTGGGGGCAGTCAGAAGTTATACAGATTTTCAGTTGCATGGGAGTAGGCACCAGTAACCCCCACATTGTTCAAGGATCAACTGTATACCTTTTGCACTTCTTTTGATAAATTTATTTTAAGTATTTTATTCTTTTTGATGCTATTATAAATGGAATTGTTTTCTTTATTACATTTTTTAATTGCAAAT